CCTGTGTAAATGAAAACCAGAAATGAATGGAAGAAAGAAGATGAAAAGCACCAGTTTTTTTGAAACATACAGCTTGCATGGGTGTCAGTATCCATGGAGTAGCATTGCATTTCAGAGAAACTTGCCAAGCAGACAAATCATTCCTTTTCCCTGTCCTGTCTTGTCCTTTGCACACATGAGCTTTGTCCCGGATTTGAAGAGAGATGGGAAGACAGCGCTGCTTACAGGAGAGACTCGCGCTGCTGTAAGGGAGCCACCCAAACATCAGAGCAGCAGGCAGTAGCCTAGCACCTGCTACCCTCTGAGAGCTAAGAGCTGTGGAGACTGCTAAGTAGGTAAAAATACTGACCGCTTAAACACAAAAAAGGCTACCTTCCAGATGGCTAGACAAAAGATCACATGAACTACGCAGTGAATTGGCTCCTGCAGCTTGATGACATTTTCGGATGGGTTTCTGAGCAGTCACCCAGGCAATGTGTAAGCAAGTCTATCTAGACTCTCTGCCTCAGTCCTTAAAATACAGAGGAAGGAAAAAATGCTTGTCTCTGGTATGCAGGGAATAGAACATGCTTTGCTGACTTTCTCCACCCGACTTCCCAATCAAAGAAGGCAGATTTTTCCTTTCTGACAGCCTCACACTGTCCAAACTCAACAAAGACAACTTAAGAGCAGTGGTTTTTCAGCCTGTTTTGGATCTGAATAAGCATTGGATGTGGATAGCTGTGTAGAGTAATGAAACCTCCCAACAGTAGGCTTGTTTTCCTGCAGTTGTTTCTGTGCACTGTGTAGAGGGTACCTCTGAACTCCGAGGTGGGAGACAGGTAGGGGCCTACCCTCAGTTTTTGGAGTGTCGCACCCACCCTTGGCCCTCCATTTTACCAGCGGGTCTTAGTGTCTATTTGCATATTGGGTGGCCTAAAAAAAGCATATACACAAAAAAAAACCCACCACGCAAAAAAACCAACAGTGTTTCTCACTGTGGTGATTTTAATCAGAAATACTAAAAACCACTCAAACATGGAACAGTATTTAGGTTACCCTAAGTCAGTTTGAAATTACATTGTAACCACAAGGGGTAGCGTGGATTGATTCTCTGGCTATGTAGAGAGCTGAGAAAAGAGCAAGGGCTTCAGCTCAGCTGAGGCTAATAGCAGCTATGGAAAAGTTTAGAGCTTCAGAACCTCTTAAAAGCAAAATAAGCAGTGGTCTTGTCTGAGGCTTTCTTCTGACTTAAGAGTCATACTGCTCTTTGAAGGGCAAACTGTGTATTTGTATGTTTGCATTCTTCTGTATGTTTGAGTGTGGAAACATAAACTTCTCTTTTGAAATAAGATGAATGTAAAAATCTTGGCATGGTCTTATTTTGGTAATAGGATTGCATGCAGACATCCTTGTGGTTAAATAAAAAAAAAATTAAAAAACATTAGATTTCCTGTGAAGGGGGGTCATTGTTTGCAAATGGAATGATTAAAGACTGAGAGACTAGAGATGCAAATACAACTGCATGATCTTGCTCATAAATCCCTAATGTAACTCTTTTAAAATCTCTGTTTTTTTTCCTGTGGAATTGAATTTGCTGTTGTCATTAAGAGGATAGCATCAACTTGGACAATTGAATTTTTATTCTAATTCCTTTTTGGATTTCTTGGGTCTCCCTCCACCTTAAGTCTTTCAGCTGCAAATTCCCTTTTCAGAATTCATTGAAAGAAAAGATTTTTATTTTATAACTAAAAAACTCTTGTTATATGGCAACCTTTAAATTGTTTAGAATAGCCAATGTCAAATACCAAAGGTCTTTAAAATGTCTGATGCTCCCCAGAGTAGAACAGCTGTTCTGTACCCTTGTGCATGCAGCAAATGAGGGCACAGAGCTCAACTGATTTAATAGCACTGTAAACCCACCCACTTCACTGGACTTCAATCTCTTATGGATTGGTGCAATCAAGTTATTTAGACAGACTTGAAGTAAAGCAACATGGATCACAATGCTTTAGAGCCTCATCAGGAATGTATTCCTTTAAATATGCTGATTTACAAAGAAAGTTTGATTTTTTTTTTTTTTTTTTTTTTTTTTCCCCCCTTTTTTTTTTTTTTTTTTTTCCCCCATTGCTGTTTTTTGTCTTCTCTTGGTCATCCTCTAGTGTTTGGCTTTCACAAGAATGCGGAATTCAGGGTTTTTCTTTCAACCTTTAAAGTCTGCAAACTCTCCCTGGAAAACAGGCTGGTTCCTGAGCTTCCCGGCAGGGCTGCTTTTTAACCAGAATCTAAGTGGAAAAATGTAACCTTTTCTAGTGCTCTAGTGGTATGACCTCTGCAAATAGGGTGAACAATTGGAAGCTTCCTGCTACATGTTAAAACCAAGAGAAAATGTTTCTTTTTTCGTGTGTCTACTTGTCACCCTTTTCTCCAGTACTTGTGCTTGCCAGGGCTTTTCGTTTAACCCTTTTTTTCTTTTAAGCTCCTCCTTGGTCTTACCTACCCTTGTCGATGCTCTTTGATAAGGGATTAGAGGGAAGCGGACTGTGTGTGTGCGGAGGAGGGGGGGATGCGTCAAGCTTGTTGTTTTTTTTTTAACTCTGTATTTTCTGTCCCAGCTGCTTTGTTTTGCTCAAACTCCATCTGCAGCCATGCCACTAAACTTGTTTTTCACGGCTGCTCCCTGCCATTTATGTTTTAATTTCTGCTTGTATCAAATCAAAAGCTTGCTGCTATCTTACTCTATAATGTTTTGCACCTGCAATATTTGCCATTTAGGTGGCTGGAACTACTGAACACAGCTTTACTGTGGTCAGTAAATGTGTGAGCGAGGAGAAGAGTTAGGCTACTTAAATGCAATTATAAACTCGCTGTTAAAAACCCTAGAAGGACTTTTTAGTCATGGAACTTGGCTCCTGTTCAGTTCAGAAGTTTGTGTCCAAATTACTGGTGTGAATTGGTTGTGACTTGAGAGGAACTCTACTAATCAGCTTGGAGATCACCCCCATGATATTTCTCATTATGTGCTCATGTTCTAGTTATGCGTTATTGTATTCTTCTGGGTATGAAAGCATTCATTCTGTTTACCTGATAGTGGAAAATGCAGCTTCTTCCTAACTGCATCTTCAGTTTCTCACTTGGACATGACTTTCAGAAGACTTAATTGCATTTTAGGAACTTCAAGCAGGACTTTTTGGGGGTGTTTGGGGTTTGTTTTGTGTGTGTGGGGTTGCCTTTTTTGTCATTTTTTACCTTCATGGTAATATGTTTTCTCCCTTGTGGGTGACTTTTGATTCCCCACCCCCTCCTGGTCAGTCGCATTAATACTGTAATACTTGAGAGCGGATTGAAGTGACATCTAACATTTTGTTCTATTTGTACTACACGCTGAGCTCAAGCAAACAAACAAAGCAATCATTATGTTTTAGCATTCTTTTTTAATGAGCACGTTAAAATCTACTCAGATCAGCAGTGAAGAGAAGGGAGAAACATGGCACTCTGAGTAGCACTGTCTTTTTGAAACAATTTATGGAAAAATAATAGACTAAAGGGATATGTGAGGACTCGGGTAGGAAATAAATGGCACCATGTTGTTGACGGAAAGGGTTTTGGCAGAAGGCTTGTCGTGACTGTTTCTGTGGCTTAGAAAGGAATTTCCTACAGCCTGGACTAACCATTAAAAAAAATGTTTCTACTTTTAGGAGTTGAAGGCATACAGTGGAGTCTTCCCGGGGAAGATGTCGTCTTTGACAATGAAAGCCTGTTGTCTGGACAAAAGAGGAAGTTTCTTTAAGGTAAATGGGATATTTATACAGAACATAAAGCACATGATTTTATGTGAAACGAGTGCTGCAGGATGTGCAGTACAGTCTGTGATACGTAGCAAGCTTTTTCTGTAAAATAGGAAGCATTTCATTGAGCATCTCTTTTTACAGGTAGTATTTGTGGTTAGATTACCAACCAGGTATTTCATGTGTATATTGTTCTTCTGTACACCAAATAGAATATTCGGTGTAAAACAGCTTGTGGCTTTTTTTGCCACTAATGCTAAGAACATAAGCTTTATTATGCATAGGCATAAAATTATTAGAGCTTTAATAAACTGGATTTGTGTAGCTTAAAGCTGTGGTACAGGCTTATGATTTCCATTATTGGATTGAAAATGGGTTTCATTTCCTTGACTATTTTAAGAAAAATTGGTGCGGGCTCCTTGCTTGTGTGCAATCTGAACACTCACAAAAATACTATATTTGTATTCTCAATGTATATTTCAGTCCTTTTTGAGTTTTAGTGTGTTTTGCTTTTTTGTGGGTTTTGGTTGTTTTTTTTAAAGCCTAAGTGCATCTTGTTTGAAATTAACGAGAAGCTGGTGCTTAGCTCACACCATACTCTCAAAAATCCAGCAACGCAGATGTCTCTGTCTTTGGGTGCCTACATACTTTAAAGGAGTCTAATGCTTCCTCCCATAAGATACTCAGCCCAGCTTCCTGATGATAACGGGCACTGAGAGCTAATAGTTCTGTTCTGGCACGGACGTGCTTATAGAGGGAAAACAAATAATTCCATTTAGTGTTTCTGTGTTCTGGGGGCTGTTTTGAGATGTCATGTGGCTTACAGCACACGTAATACAGCATATTCCAGTGAGGAATATGTTCAGGGTGAGAGCCCTTCTGCCTCCCTCCAATTCCATTCCATCATGGAACAGATCTGATTCATAGCAATGTATGAAAGGGGCCAGGAAGGCAGGGTGCAACATATGCTCTCCTAATGCCCCTGGGAAACACCTGGGAGTACAGGCATGGGTGGAGGCCTCTCCAGACTTGAGCTGGTGCTCAGAGCTGCAGGGAGGTAGAGCCCTCAGTTGAAGAACCTTCAAATACTCCCTGGAACTGTTCAGAAATGCATTTTTCCCTGCACGTGAATATCTGACTTTTGTCCCGGTAATCTCATTGCAGCTGGAAAATGGAACCTTGAGAATTGCATGAGAAAGGATGTACTTCAGATTGGCTGCCTGCCGTTATTAGGTTTTGTGCATCTTCTGTGATCATCTTCACTTCTGCTCTGTCTCTGGGAACTTCTGTCAAGGATTAAACTTGATGACTTAATTTTGTTTTTTCTCAGTATTTCCTGCAGAGTTAACTTGCATGATTGGCCCCCAGATTTGCTCAGCAGTAGTAGCTTAGCTTAGGCATGAACAATCACACTGCAAAAGTAAGCATGGGTCACTGTGTCCTCTCTTCTGCCTCCTGCTCTATGTGAGGTTTGTTAAGGCTTTGGGGGATCAGTCAGAGGGCTTTTGGGGCTGCAGTGAGCTTACTGTTTTCTTGGGGAATGTGGGAACATTTTGGTCTTTTTATACGACAGAGAGAAACTTTATGCAGTGGAGAGACTTTAGAGAAGTGTCATCTTTCAGGCTGGCATCACAAAAAGCAGAGGTGCAGTAGGAGTTATCAGTATGGTTTTCAAAAGATGACTGAATCCCACTAACTGTTATATTTATGTATAGTGGAGGAGGTCTGGAGGCAATGCTGAAGTTAATTGTAGAGAAGGCTGTAGTTAACATTTTGTTCTGGAAAAAAGGATTAGTTGATCTGAAATGTAGTTAACAAAGCCTTCATGTGCACTGTGTGAGTACAGCTGTGAAACACCATATACTTCTAGCGAGCAGGACAGGGAGAATAGTCTCCAGGCAGTGCCAATGTATTGAAAGTATGCTGACCTATGAAACTGTGGTGTCCTACCACTGGCCAGGAAGATATGTGTATTTTTCTGATGTGAGGAAGAGAGTGAAGTGTCACATAGACCAGCTTGGGATCAGAGTTAGATACAACAGAGTTGAATTCGTCTGTTCTGCGTTAGAATTTTGCTGTTTGTGTAACGCTAGGGTCACAGTGGCTGTCTTGCTGAGCAAGGCTTTGCTCTAAGGAGCAATCAAAATTTACAGGTGCTTCTGAGCATTGAATTAACTTACCTTGATCGCTTCCCTTAGAATATTCATTGCCTGCTGTAGCTTCTTCCAGTGAAAGATGCCACTTGCTGCCATCTCAGCTTATATTAGGAAAAAGCATACTACTTTTCTTTTTCTAGTACTGCAGCAAATGTGATTGACGAGCCAAAGCTCTGAGTAGTGGCAAGCAGCTGCCACCTTACTGACTATTCCTAGCTCCTGCCTCCTCTGCTGCTCCTAGCACACCGCACTCTCCTCGTGGGCTCCATGCCACGCATTTCAGGTGTTGCTGTTTCCATTCCCTCTGTTCCTCTGGGACAGAAAAGTTGTTCTGCTGCTGCCTGAGTTTGACCCTAATGCTTGGGGGGATAAGGGGTGGGGGTGGGTGTTCTAGCAGATGATAAATACACTCATGATAGGCTACAGGCAAAGGAGAACCACACAAGTGGTGGCTCGTGCCTCTAGCACATGGAGAGCTATAATGACCACCAATGCAGTGTGCAGGACCAGCTTCATAGTACTGTTGTAGTGACACGCATATGCATCGAAGCGTTTGTTTCATGTGTTGCATGTTTTCTTTTTCTTAAGGCAATCTTACCAGGCCAATCTTTAAAAAACAAATGATCAGTGCTGCAGTGACAGTGTGTTTTCCTCTTTGGCTTGCCCAGAGCTTCATGTGGTCAGCAATAAACAGGGTCTTCTGGGGACAGGAACTGCTTCTCAGTTTCACAACACACTTTGGTTATGTCTCGTATCTCATAAACACAAACATCGACCTTGTTTGATGGCGGTCCACAGCCGTATAGGGTGAATGGTCATATTTTCAAATCATACCAAGAAACTGTCTCACTTATGAGGAATATTTCTAGGTTGTCACTTACACGTGTGCTGAAGGAGTCATGATGTCAGTGGGACTGTAAGGAAGTGCCTGTGTAACTTTCTGCAGTCCTTTGATATCTCCTTGTGTAAGTAATTCTTGTGTGGATAATAAATGCTGGGATAGCTATTTTGTGCACCTCCTGTTCATGATATCGTGGTTGTAGTTACTCAGAATGATTAGGAATGTAGTATGCCTGAGCAATTTCAAGACACCAGACTCTTAAGGCCGTAAGAAGTATTGTCAATTAAGAAACTAAGGTTGTCCTAAGTTTTCTTAAGGACAGCCTGGCAGGGGAATGGCCTGAAGAATAGCGGGAATAAAAGATGCCTCAAAGCTACCTTTTCAGACCTCTCGCCATCCCTGGGAAGTTGCACTGTTGGACCACTGTTCTGAACCTATGGTGTCGAATTGGAAACTGCAGGTAGTCAGTGTATCCAGCCTGTGTGTAGTGTACCCCGTGTCTGTGTGTGCGCACTTGTGTGTACAGTGAAATTACCTTCTCCTTCTTGTATTCCTCCACATTTGTAAAATTGTGATAAGAAGTTACATTTGCTACAGCTGGACAGGTGAGCAAAGAAAACACTTGGCACATCAGATTTTTTTCAGTTTACATTATTTTAATTTGCCTTGTCTGTCTGTGTTTAGGAGACCCAGTAATTAAGATATAGCCTTTTACCCATGCTGACCTGTACTTCAGAATCCTCTCCCAGATGCGCAGACTATGTAGTGTACTTCTGCATATGGCTCTTGTGTTGTGCTTGTTACTTTACAGTTGCCCAAGAATCCTTCAGCATGCTGGCATGCAGTTTCTCAGGGCACTTAAATCCTCATAAAGAGTATCTTACCATGCTGAGCAACATTTACAAGAAAATTCATTGACAAATACCAGTGGAAAGTTCCAACTTTACTTTTATTTCTGGTTCTTAGATAGTTCCCATTGCTGTAGTTTCTAACCATCTCTTAGTTTTTTCACGTTCATTCTTTCGACTGTTTGTAGTACACCAGGAAAACAGTATTGTCCTCATTTTGACAAAGAGCAAATGTCTACGGTTTTATAGGCTAAATTCTCTGGAGTCTTTGTACCTTGCAATTGATGAAGGCTCAGAGCCAGCAAGTAGTAAAAATGAAGCAAAGATGGAGTTAGGCTTGGGTAATTCTGGGACTGAATAGCTTGCCAATGGTTACAGAGGGAGTCTGGTAAAGCAAGGAACTGAATATGTGTCTCTGACAAACATCCTTTTTACTGAACCATCTTCCTTCTCATCAAAATGTTCCAGTCTTTATTGAACTGGCATCAGAGGTTTTACACCACTAAAGCTTTTCTGTCCCAAAGTCAAACATCAGCTAAAACTTTGTTGCTTACTGATGAATAAGACACTGAATAATGTTAGTGGTCTTGCGAATTCGTAGCTCACTGTGCAAAATAACCAGAAATTGCAGCCACGTATCAAAATATATAATTGTATTCAGACATTTGGAAAAGTCCAGAAATAGCATTCCCAGTTTGGCTTGTCTCTGGCGCTTCGCCACCTTGTCACACAGGGTGCTCTTTGAGGGTTGCTACGCTCTGCTTATCAAAACAGGAAGGAAAAGACGTGATGCCAAAGAGGATGCAGGTCTCCAGAAAGAATGAAAAATGAGATGCTGGCAGGAAGGGGGGGTGGTAAGTGCTGAGGCTCGTTTGTCCAGTCTGATACCGATCCTTGCTAACTTCAGCCCGTGTTCCCTTGCCAGATTAGAAGCATTGATCTTACCTTTTCCTCTTTTGCTGTTGTAAATCTCAGGGCTTGGAAACATTCTGCAGTGGTCACCTTGGCCGACTCTTTCAATGCACTCTCAGAAAGATGGCAGTTTCATTAATTCTCTGTACAAGCTTATGTATGTTTCAACACAAAAAATAGGAATTCAGTTGCCATGCAGTGATGGATGAATGATTTTTTTCTAAAAATGTCCTGAAACAGACATCA